CTCACCTTATCACTCACTCACTCGCTCACCTACTCACTCACTCGCTCACTTCCTCACTCACTCACTCGCTCACCTACTCACACTCTCACAACCTGAGTCGCTGACGAACTACAGACAATACCTGTCGACCCGTACGGTTTAGCCCGTATTCTTGTACAGGGAAATTTAGTTTCCAGGTCCATACGGACTACAGCCGTTGGAATACGGGCATTTTTTTCGTCTATTTATTTGTGTTTTCCATTGTGATTAGACTTTGTAGGATGAACGTTAAGATTTATAATGGAACGGGGTGACCAATATGGTCTGAATTGGTCTGTAATAAGGTAGGGCACTGATAAGGGGTTGACAGGTTTGACAAACTGACTCACTCCCCTGGTGAAGCACCAACCGATTCACTCACCCCCCCCCCCCCATTATCCTCCAGGCATTCACCCACTCACCCGGCCACGCACCGACTCGCTCACCTACCCACCGACTGACTCACACCCGGAAGGACTCACACCCCCACGAATTCACCCACCCAGCCGCCCACGAACGCAACGATTCGCCCATTCACTCGCCAATTTTTTTTCCCCCTCTGGGTCACCATCGACGCAAAGGCCACGTGGTCGCTCTTTATTAATGGGTTTGCTTAAATTGTTTGCGTAGGGCTTTTAAGAGAGGGGCGATTAGCGTGCGCTGAGCTAAAGTATCTCGCCAAAAAGAAATGCGTTCACGGGTCAGAGACGTGACCTCCAGCATGAGGTCTCAGGAGCGCATAAATACGGTGGGCTGAGCCGACTTCGTCCACGACTACTCTTTGTTGTCATTCTGACTCCTTGTTCAAGAGCCTGACCAAGCCACCGTCGCATCATGGTCAGGACGCCTGTGATTTTATTTTGCGGTTTTCATTGCCGTGTGCGTGTTGTGTGAGAGCGGGTGAATGACGCGTGTACGGCGGGGAACGGGAGTGGGCCGCGAACCCCTCGGCCTCCCCTAGGTCGACTCAGCCTCAAATGAGTACCTGATGCGATGTGTAAACAAAGCTACTGTGGGAGACAAAGGCGGCCGCGCGTTGTGCTGGCCACCTATGCCCGCCCGTGTAACGTGCAGGACTTCATAGGTGCTACTCGCTAACAGCAGTTGCCCCAAAAGTATGTTCAGGCTATATGGGGGATGTTTTGTCTTGGAAGAAAATGTATGTATTAGAGTGGGGAGCCGTGGCGCAGTGGTGAGTGTACGGCGTGCCCTTTGCTTCTTTCGGTAAAGTCACGTAGTTAGAAATAAAATTGAACAAATCACGACGTTTCGATCGCAACACAAGCGGTCGTCATCAGGCAATGCTGCAATGATGATGACCGCTTGTGTTGCGATCGAAACGTCGTGATTGATTTCATTTGATTTCTACCCACGTGACTTTACCGAAAGAACCAAAGAGTATGGATTCCTGCAGTCACGAAAGCTTCAAATCAAGATTGAGTGTACGGCGCTTACGAAATTCGATTGCAGCTAAAGCCATCTCCAGACGTCTTGTCGGTCATAGGGGCTGTTTGACCATACTTCACCACGCTGGTCGGTACGATTGGTGAATGTGGGTATCCAGGACCGGTTAAGAAGATATGAGTTGCCATTGGATCGAACGCAAGATAACCGAGTTCATCGCTCAGTGCGCTTGTTAATAGTGTTATTATTTATGTTGATAGTAATACAGTTAATCGTTATTCTTAATGCCTATGACCAAATCAGCGGGAAGCTAAGCAGGTTTGAGCCTGCGCGGTGCTCAGAAGGGCGACCACCGTGAATAACTCGTGGCCATCACAAGACATAACTCATGGTCATCACAGGATATATAACTCATCTTCATTACAGGATCTAACTCATGGTCATCACAAGATATATAAATCGTGGCCATCACAAGACATAACTCATGGTCATCACAAGATATATAACTCATCTTCATTACAGGATCTAACTCATGGTCATCACAAGATATATAACTCGTGTTCATTACAGGATCTAACTCATGGTCATCACAAGATATATAACTCGTGTTCATTACAGGATCTAACTCATGGTCATCACAGGATATATAACTCGTGTTCATTACAGGATCTAACTCATGGTCATCACAGGATATATAACTCATCTTCATTACAGGATCTAACTCATGGTCATCACAAGATATATAACTCGTGTTCATTACAGGATCTAACTCATGTCATCACAGGATATATAACTCGTGTTCATTACAGGATCTAACTCATGGTCATCACAAGATATATAACTCATGTTCATTACAGGATCTAACTCATGGTCATCACAGGATATATAACTCGTGTTCATTACAGGATCTAACTCATGGTCATCACTAGATATATAACTCGTGTTCATTACGGGATCTAACTCATGGTCATCACAGGATATATTACTCGTGTTCATTACAGGATCTAACTCATGGTCATCACAAGATATATAACTCGTGTTCATTACAGGATCAAACTCATGGTCATCACAAGATATATAACTCGTGTTCATTACAGATCTAACTCATGGTCATCACAAGATATATAACTCGTGTTCATTACAGAATCTCACTCATGGTCATCACAAGATATATAACTCGTGTTCATTACAGATTTAACTCATGGTCATCACAAGATATATAACTCGTGTTCATTACAGGATCTAACTCATGGTCATCACTAGATATATAACTCGTGTTCATTACGGGATCTAACTCATGGTCATCACAGGATATATTACTCGTGTTCATTACAGGATCTAACTCATGGTCATCACAAGATATATAACTCGTGTTCATTACAGGATTTAACTCATGGTCATCACAGGATATATAACTCGTGTTGATTACAGGATCTAACTCATGGTCATCACATGATATATAACTCGTGTTCATTACAGATCTAACTCATGGTCATCACAGGATAGATAACTCGTGTTCATTACAGGATCTAACTCATGGTCATCACAAGATATATAACTCGTGTTCATTACAGGATTTAACTCATGGTCATCACAAGATATATAACTTGTGTTCATTACAGGATCTAACTCATGGTCATCACAGGATATATAACTCGTGTTCATTACAGGATTTAACTCATGGTCATCACAAGATATATAACTTGTGTTCATTACAGGATCTAACTCATGGTCATCACAGGATATATAACTCGTGTTCATTACAGGATCTAACTCATGGTCATCACAAGATATATAACTCGTGTTCATTACAGGATCTAACTCATAGTCATCACAAGATATATAACTCGTGTTCATTACAGATCTAACTCATGGTCATCACAAGATATATAACTCGTGTTCATTACAGATCTAACTCATGGTCATCACAGGATTTATAACTTGTGTTCATTACAGGATCTAACTCATGGTCATCACAAGATATATAACTCGTGTTCATTACAGGATCTAACTCATGGTCATCACAAGATTTATAACTCGTGTTCATTACAGGATCTAACTCATGGTCATCACTAGATATATAACTCGTGTTCATTACGGGATCTAACTCATGGTCATCACAGGATATATAACTCGTGTTCATTACGGGATCTAACTCATGGTCATCACAGGATATATAACTCGTGTTCATTACGGGATCTAACTCATGGTCATCACAGGATATATAACTCGTGTTCATTACAGGATCTAACTCATGTCATCACAGGATATATAACTCGTGTTCATTACAGGATTTAACTCATGGTCATCACAGGATATATAACTCGTGTTCATTACGGGATCTAAATCATGGTCATCACAGGATATATAACTCGTGTTCATTACGGGATCTAACTCGCCTGCATTGCGGGTTTGTCTCGTAATGAAGTAGACGTAACAGCGGCATATAACCTCGCGCCCCCTCAATTTCGAACAGTCGTTTTTTATAACATACATACATTCGGAATTATTGCTTTTTGTTGAGATATTAAATGCTCATTTGATGAGTCACCACTTTACCAGCCTTACTTACACACTTGTGCCATGAAGGACAATTTCCCGAAACGTCGCCCGTAAAAATGTGTTTGATGTCCATAGTGTTATTGACGAATATATTGAGCTGTGTTGTTGTTGATGATTATCGTGCTTATGAACCACTGCCAACGCAAGCAGCAGCATCGCCAGACAATACGTCAACACTTTAAGAGGTGGCGATGGAAGGTGACTGCGATGAAACTCGAGTCACGCGTGATGTCTGGGTTTTGCCGTACCTTGTACAGATTTAGTTATTGGGTTGAGCGAACAGTCAGTAGGTTTTAAACATCATCAATCGCGTTTGACTTACAATTAATAAAACGTTATTTGCAGCGCGAAGAACAGGGTCACGTTCACAGCGAATGACTGTTGCCAACGAGTCTGGCTGGCTTCGATGGGTTTGTGCGGGGTCTTTTCACGTTTACTTTTAAGAGCCGTTGACCGACGTTCACTTGCCGGCCACGGCTAACATCAGTGGCGAGTGATAACTAAACCGGTTTTGGGCCTCCCCTAGGTCGACTCAGCCTTAAAATAGTGCATGGCGCAGCCGATAAACATCAGCACCGGGAAAAAACAGAAGGGCGACCGGGCGTGGTGCTGGGTACACATGGTTACACGCGCCTTTCCCGGCATTAATAGTTCGCTTTTTGTTTTAAACAGCACTGATTCCCAACGGTCTATGTGAGCTACACAGGGGGTCGAGACATTTATCATTGGCTCAACGTCCGCCGTTTCGAATGTAGACGTGTAATAACCACAACTCATTGTGTAACAACCAAAACTCATTGTGTAACAACCAAAACTCATTGTGTAACAACCACAACTCATTGTGTAATAACCAAAACTCATTGTGTAACAACCACAACTCATTGTGTAACAACCACAACTCATTGTGTAACAACCACAACTCATTGTGTAACAACCACAACTCATTGTGTAATAACCACAACTCATTGTGTAATAACCACAACTCATTGTTTGCCTCTGTTTGTTTTTTTACACAGAAACTTCTGCTGATCGCGCTGCTGTTCTGTGGATTGGTGCCGATGTACCACGCGGCCGTTCTACGTGAGACATTGCGCGCACGCACACACACACAGCTCCTCCGCCCTCTGTTGTTGTTGGAGGGCGACTGCCTCCAACTGCCCAGAAGCGTCCTTCACGAGCCTCCTCCACTTACGCATATACGCAGAGTGACATCACCATGGCACCGACGGTGAACTTTCGATCATCCGCGTGCACTTTTATTCGGGTTTCGAATTAACCGAGCTTGCTAGAAATTGATTATAACATACTCATTAGCGTCGTTGTGGAAATTATAAGTTACACAAGGAATAAGCCGACAATACGCCTGCCATATATATATTAAAAAGTATATTTTACACATAGCATCAGCTACACATGGCGTTCCCCAAAATGAATAGTGTAATGTGTGTATATGTTTCATTATCTAAAATATGGCATCACACACGACCCAATTAGTGCCTTTACATGCGGGGCCCAGATCAATTAATGGGCAGCTGCTTTTCAACTCGTGGTTCCGTGGCGGATTTGGCATTCCTCCTCCTCCTCCTCCTCAAAGACACGCGTCAGCACACCAACAGCCCGACGCGCGCAACTCCTTCGTTCGTGGGAAATTTAAAGGCAAAGCCGCAATGGCCATACGACTGTGGCCATGCGACCCACACCACGGAGCGCACAGCGAACCCACTGTGGTCTGCGCTCCTTCAACGGAGGAGGAGGAACAGCAGCACCACACGAACTCTCTCTCTCTGCTGAAGCCCTCTCGCCGTGGCCAGCAGCAGACAACGACGTTGGCATTTAGCTCCTGAACGTATTGCTACCATTCGTAAGAATTTAATAGTGACGGATGATTTTAGAGTTCAACAAAAAAAACGTAGATTAACATTTTTACGTCTTCCCCCGGTGCCAGGGGCCGGCAAAACAAAATCACAAAAACGTCCACATTTGTCGAATTTGGTTAAAAAAAAACCCGCAAATATTTCAAGAGCTGTGATGCAAGCGGTGAATACGTGACGGTGGTTGTCCCTAATAACCAGCGTCACGAAGCGGTCCTTAACGAGCCACACGCCGCTCCGGAACTGCAGGTTGCCAACCCCTGGCCATTCGAGAGATTTACATCATTTTACACACTCCATGGCGATAACTACAGTAGCAGATGCCAGATTAGAGCTTCATAAATTGACAAGCTTGAACTGGAACTTCGCTGGAGTTAGGGTCCTGTAAATGTTTGAAAGGATGAACAGTCTTTTAAAATGTCGGCTTTCACGACGTATTATAATTCACGATTTAGTTTATCTTGAGTTAGACGGTGAGGATTACAGATTAATACGTTGACTTTCGCGACAAGTATCATTAATAAATCAGTTTTTTTGTGTTAGATCGCATAAATATAAATGTGTCGTTAAACCCGCCACCACCCGACACAGGCAATTAGTAAGGTTTGTCACGTAAACAGAACATGCCAATTCGTTTTTAGTACAGCACACCGGTGTGTTTAAGGTTACAATCTCACTTGTTTTACTATGAACATGGTTATAACTATATACCGACACGATCTAACTCCAAAAAAATCAGGAATTTTGTTGAGTTTGAGTTTAATTTGTTAAATGCATGGTCCTGTTTAATCGGGTGCCCGGCTATTTCACAAGGGAAATCCGTGGCGTTTCTGGATCCAACGTGTTTTTTGCCTTGCATGACAAACAACTGCCATGCGATCACCACACTGCATGCACAATGCTTCTCAGCCTTGTCCAGACCACCACCATCAACCACCACCGCCTCAAGAGCTGAACGTTTAGATTGCAGAATTGCTTCATCGTTTCGAAGACCGACTCGTGGAGTTGAGACTTGCGTCTTTCCAACCCTCTTCCCGACCCTCCCCCCACGCTCACCCCGACCCACCGGCGACTCCCACAGAGCCTGCAGTACAGATCATCTCGAGGGGATGCAGCTCGCCCACGGGACTCGTGCCAATCGGAGCGTCTTGGCGCAACGCCAAATGTGAAACGTGCATTTGTGGAGCCAACTACATCCCGACCTGTACTCTCAAGTAAGCCGAGAAGTTACCACCACATTTAACGTGTTGTTGTTGTTAAGTCTGTTTTTCAACCAATGTAATGCTGTTTTACACAAACTAGCTTCACGTGTTGCCATAGGTCAAAGCAAATAGAGGGTGCAGAGTTTCGCGTTCTGTGTATTCACGTAGACATATAAATGTCATGTTAGTCCACCGGCCTATTGGCTTTCCACACCAATATTATCAAGCGGCATTTGTTTAAGTGGCAAAACTCTGGACCGGTTTTGACCCCTATGGGTCTCATCAGCAGGGTCAGTTTAAGCGTTTGAACACAGAGAGCCCGGATAAAGAAAAACAAGAGGAGTCTTCACATTCAGCCAGTCGCCCAGGATTCACCAGAAGCACTGAATAAACAACAACCACCATGCTCAACACATTGGTCAATAACATTGTGTGGCCTTACAAAACGGTAAAATGTGTATACATAATAGGCGACGTTTCAGGCAATGGCCCATCTTCACAGTACATACATTCTTCATTATTGTTCTAAATTATATATTGTTTTATATATAAATATAGACAATTTTACTTTTCAATTATTGTTGTTGATTGAGCATCAATCGAACAATACAGTTTCATAAAATAATTAGTTTGCAGTCAGGCTTATTAAACAAATGCTTCTCTATTAGCCAATGGTTTTTTTGGGCAAGAGTGCTCCATATACGACCTGGATCCCCGATCAACAAACAAGTAACATATTTCGCAACATGATTTGTGGGTATCCGTGGAGCATTGTGGGTACACGATGATACGAACATATGTCATTCTCTCTCTCGGTGAAAATCGGATAGGCTGACGGACTGGAATTCTGCTCCGTTTGATTTTCTTGCGATTGCAAAATCAAAATCACGTCACGGTGATACCAGCATCAATACCACGTCACAGCACCTGCGAAAGAAGTTCAGCAGACAGACATCGCATAGAGACAGCTGCCACTGGGATCCCATCGGCTAGAACTGCAGCAGGGCATTGGGATGGTGGAGGCGACACGTGATGCAAGGCGCTTTCACTTGAGGAGGCATCTTAGCGTGCGCCATGTAAACGTAAACCCGCATACTCTTTGGTTCTATTCGGTAAAGTCACGTAAAAAACAAAAAAATTCACGATGTTTCGGCCGCAACACAAGTGGCCTTCATCAGGTGAAGGGACCAGACTGTCTAGAGGACAGCGCTGGAGTAAACCCGCATCCATATAACGAAGCGATACAGGACATGGGCGATTCCTGTACTACATTACGGGTTAATAACTTGTTGTGGAGCATTTTGGGTAAATAACGTATAGGAGCACACATCTGTTATAGCCCATCGGCTTATTGGCTTTCCATACCAATGTTATCCAGCAACATTTGTTTAATCAGAGCAAACCGTGGACCTCATTAGCGAGCGTGTCAGGCTTGTTAACAAAAATGCTGCTGCGATCACCCGGTGTTATTCTGTTCCAGTTTAAAAAGTGACACCTCTGATGTTACCCAACCCCACTCCCCCACCTGCCACAGGCTCTCGATTCCAGTGATGTACGACAGCGACTGCGAGCTGTTTCTGGACACGAAGTTGTGCGTATACAAGGTGGTGAAGATTGCCGACCACTCGATATCGTGTCCCTACCGGGGCATGACCTACCCGACATCGAAGTAACACGCGGGACGACCAAAAAAATGTCTTCAAGAAATACGCTCGATAAAGCATCTCCAGAGTAACGACGCTCACCGCGTTGTTATTCTTTTTGGCCGTGGCACCCATTTGCGCTTACAGCTACACATAGATACATTTTGGGGATTAAGTTTGTGTTACAACAATAGGGACATGTTATAGTCCACAGGCCGAAGCGGATACGGGATACCACCTCAGGCTGCTAAAACTTAACAGTATCGATGATTAATTCACTTGGCGAATGATAATCAATTAGTTGATTACCCCACTCAGTGCAAATGGTTATCACGTAATTCGCTGTTATTCGTCACGTAAGGAAATTGAAACTATTAGGTCACCAACAAGTCAAACAACTGGTCTAGAGCCCGTGGACTATTGCGTGATATATTCCCGCTAATGCCTCTCTTTTAGACGCTGCTTGACCACACACTCAAATATTGTTGTTTTCTTCTCTTTTGGGGCTGAACTGTTGTTTGAACAATTAAGAAAAGCATCATCAACATCAATAAAAAACGCAAAGCTGCAATTCTATTGCACGGGTGATGTGGAGTATTTTCCTTGTGTTAACGTTCGAGTTGCTCGCTAGGGATTAGTTTAATACATGGTAGGCTTTCGCAAACAATATCATCCATAACAGGTTTTTTTTAGTTAGATCGCGTAAATATATAAATGTGTCGTTAAACCGCCACCACCCGACACAGCCAATTAGTAAGGTTTGTCACGTAAACAGAACGTGCCAATTCGTCACTAGTACAGCACACCGGTGTGTTGTAGAGCAAAGCCACAAAATTTACAATCTGAGTACGACGTTTCGCCAGTAATTACAACCAGCTTCATCAGGCGACAGCCAGATTTGTGGAGAAATCCTCCTGTTTCGTTCCTTAAATAGAGGGAGAAATTTGATGACGCCATCAAATCGATTATCAAAATCCACAGAGTGTCCTTATTGGCACGCGTGGTTTGCCACTGCCGACAGTTGTATTTGGGAATATTTAACATTTATTTGATGTTCGTTTAGTCTCGTGCTGATCAGCAGAACACGCGTGCCAACAAGAACACTCAATTGTTTTCGATAATGTAGATGTTTTGTGCAATACTAGTTACTACTGCACAATACTAATTAGATAATCTATCGTAATTGAGAGAAATACAAATAATTGTAACCGTTCGGATAGCTACAGGCTTAGTCCTGCTTGGAAGCGATTCATCAAATAATACTGTTTAAATGCTGCCTATATATACTTCAATCGGGATTAATGTTGGTACGGCTTTTTTAGTAAACATAATCGACAGGAGGTACAAGAACAATGGACTTTCATAATACGGTTGCATTATGTACGTTGATTATCATATAAATAACCCACAAATTAAATCGTGAGACACCGTTCGTGCCTGATGATTGGTAAACGAATTTAACCAGGTGAGAACTCAATGTTCCAGGATCGGAGTCTCGTTTGTAAAAAGGTGGACCTACCTGGGTCACCGACATGGTAACATCAATGCAAAGTACAGCGATAAAGCAAACAGAAACAAAAAAGCTCTCGGGAAATTGAGGATATGGCACACAGTATATCAACGTCAAATCACGGTAAAATATTCAATTTCCTGCAGTGCCACTTAGCTCGGGGAAGACTATTTTTAGACTGATCATAGTACAATTAGAACATTTAGTACTGAAGTACACTATTGTATAAACAAAAAAGGATTACATATCAAACTCTTCGGATACTATATATTTGAATAGGCGCTCTCGACATCACGTGGGACAGCAACATCAACCGCCGCTCGCCACTAAATGGCGGTGACTTCACCGCGTCGCTTGTGCCAGGCTAGGTGCACCCAGCGGCCACGTGAAGTACCGAAGGCTAGCTGCTGGCAAGAGGTCCGGGACAGATCCAGGTCCCATGTATTAACTGACTGAGATGGCTGGCAGATGCACCACCTGTTCCCCACTGTGTCAACTTCCCGTATTTTATTCACCGGGCGCTCTGCTCGTTGTTGTGAGCGTCGCTAACGTGGGACAAACATGTACACACGCACACCAGCCCCATATTTCAGCAATTGGAATCGGCGCTTTCTACGCCACGTGGAATGCATTGAGCAATCAATAGGCGCGTGCGGCGCGGAACAACCCACATGGTATTGTATTTAAATGTGGAAGCTTTGATGAACGTGGGTTAAGATAGCTGGCGTTAACCAATTAGCGCTGTCTGCGTTAACACAGCCGATTTCAATTAATATGGAGATCTCAGTGTGTGTTTGTGTACACACGTGCTATGTGTGTGTGTACACGTAGTATCTGTGTTCTCGTGGTGTGTATGTACACGTGGTGTATGTGTACACGTGGTGTCTCTGTCCTCGTGGTGTGTGTGAACACGTAGTGTGTGTGTACACTTGGTGTGTGTGCTCACAAGCACTCGACTGGAATATTTAAAAACATGGTCTTGCCCAATTACTTCCAAGCCTGGCTTGCCTCTCCACGTCGAAGCGAGTTTTCCGGACAGAAATACCTAAATCTCATTCACATTCACTAATATCACTGCTCAAAACGGTAAAACATAATAGACGATATTTTGCGAAATGGCCATATTTTAGAGCAGATAGATTATCGCCCCCTCCTATCTATATATTAATTTAACTTTCATGCCATTCACGAATGTGTCAAGGTTTTTCTTTTTCTTATTAGTGTTTGTGCACCGCGAACAAGGCAGTGTCATCACCAAAAGAACACACAGAGACGTGTATGAAACATCAATTGTCTCGTGTTGAAATAACCATGAATCATCAGCCATGATCAATCCCCTGCTGGATGAAGTAGCAATTTCTCACGGTCGCACCCACCTCTTTGCACGCGAGCCGATCTCATCTGTATCCATACCTTGATGCGTCTAATATCGAAGCGAATATTATCATGAGCAGAACTTCATTCGTTGCACATAGATATAATGATATATGATTGTAGTCCATCGGTCTATTGCCTTTCGGGATCTGTATTATCAAACAGTATTCGTTGTCAGCAAGCAATCTCTGGACTGCTTTCGGCCTTGAGCAAAATAATAATAAAAAAACACATTATAGGTCTTCGGGCAATTCTTCACAGCACAAATGCTGTCATCGCGAAGGCAGGCGCTAGCTCTACGGCTTTACCCTGTTCTGTTAATGAAGGGTTTGGGTAGGCGGCAGATGTATTCGGACTGACGTTAATCGTAAATGATAACAACTCGGGATTTTAAAATTGAAAACTAAACGAATGCGGATCGCCAGGGGCCTAATTTAACGACCCGTGACTTCTCAAGCAAACGGCGTCTTGAAGACGCACTTCGCTTGCCGTCTTCAAGACGGCGACGCATTAAGCTCCGATCCGGACACGGACAATCCGTACCGCACACAAACACACACACCCACACAAAAGGTGGATTTGAGTTGGGGGCCAGACAAAAGGGGACACTCGGAGAAATTGACGGATGAACTCGAAATGTTGGGGGGAAGGTAAAAGACAACATTGTATGTACACGTGCTTGCACTGCTCGTGTGCGTCGTTCAACTTACTTTGTTTGTTGTCCTGCCCTCGCACCTCCCGATTAGCACGGTTGCTAACGTACGGTACGAAATAAGTTCAAAATACGTAGTTATTCCTCGGCACGTATGCGCTACGGAGAAGGGCCATTTGCCGAAGCGTCGCCTGTTTTTGTTAGCTGTTTTATCCTTTTAAGGCCACTAAGTGTTGTTGACGAATGTGTTGAGTATGTTGCCCCACTGTCAACGCAGCAGCAGCAGCAGCAGCGCCACCACCACCAGATACTGCGCTTTGCTCGTTAACTGGAACCAACCTGCACGACCTTTTGCACGTCACCGTCCGTCCTCGTGACCGTCCATGGGACATGACAATTGCAGGCGATAGGAGAGCGATAGATAAATGCGCAGCCAGCCAGCAAACCTTTTTTTTTAAATATGTATCGTATGAAGAGTTTAGCGGAGGGGTGGGTGGTGGTGTGGGAGGAGATATAGAACGTTGATGACAACAACGATAATTGTACAGCCGAACCAACAACAACAACACCTCTCTTGTGGATGATGTTGGTCGCCACTTCCGACGTGTTACATTTAAATATTTGCTGAACTCCTTTTGCGCCGTACGTATCCAACAGTGCTCATCGGAGGTGCGCGGGGATGACAATAAACTAAACACAATCTATGTGTCACGCGGTATTAAGTCAATATACAGGGTGCTTCAATTGTTTTAACACTTTTATATGGGACTATCGTTTTTAATGGAAAAAGAACGGATAATACACTGTAACGTGATAACAAATGTGTGTTAGTAGCTTCAAAAAGTAGAAGAGTCTCCCACGTGTTCGCCATCGTTGTCAACGCGTGGCCTGGAATCTTCTCCAGGTAGTCTCCAGGGCCTGGAGGAAGCAGCACATTTCTCGCGGTATTGTTGCAAATTCTCGGAAGTGTTAATATTTTATTTAAGCACCCTGTATGTAAGACAGCCAAGTGGATTCGTGACCACGGCGACGCGGAACACTTCGGCGATAAGACCCCGCACGTGGGTTGGGTTCGTCTCTGGCTGCTTCAGTTTCCTCCACAAATAAGCAAATCTCGTCGTCGTCGTCATCATGATGGAATTCTCAAAAAAATCCAAACGTAGAATGGCCCTCGTGATAAAAAATAAAAAAGCGAGGAGACTCGAGATTCAGTGAGGCTCTTCTGGCTAAATAGATAATAACGACTGTTATTGTTATGCACGTTACGATTCCGAGACACGAGCCGTGTTAAAGCGAGCGACGTGGTCATTCGTCTTGCGCTTGAACCCTGCGCCGGCCGGTTGACCCGCGCCCCCAGGGTACTTGGTCCGGTGTTTGCTCTTGAGATCGCTCCGCGCGTCTGTCTGTGTGTGTGCAGTCTTCGGGTCTCTGTGCAATCACGGAAGCGTCTCGCGGCCCGGCCGATTGGACCGACGCTCGTCCTAAAGCCCTCGAGCACACGAGCGAGTGGGCGGATAATCCTTTTGTATAATAAACTTCACGTGTCCATTAGCCCGTCAGTCATGCCATCGATGACAGCCGCTCGCTCGAGTGGCGGCTGGCCCAGGCTGGAGTTCAGCGACGGTTGCTGGGTGACACAAAGTTGCGTGACGCTCTCCCCTTGCCCGTGTAACGTCGCCATCTCCTGACACGCCACGGCATTTGCGGGTCTCGTTCGCATGGCCCCAGGGCTCGGCAATTTCGTACAAAACTCGATTTTTTCAAGAGCCGCAATGCCCACGTGAATAACGGCGTCACGACGCGGTCCTTAAAGAGCCGCAGGTTGCCGTCCCCTTGCATGGCCGTTGTCGATAGCGAGGAACGGCGGCTCTAATTATGCTACAGTGAGGTTGTTGAGCCAGTTAATCGCAGTGTCAGCAAATAGATTACCTTGGTTGTGTATGGGGATTGAGTGCGACCCAACGCCACACCCGGGCTCAGCACCCCGCCAACCCCCATGAACGCGTGGGGTGTGCTCCGGTTATTTGGGTCTCTTGCAAC